CCAGGCAAGTGCTGCGCTCATCATGTGGGAGCCTATTAATGAGAGGATAATTGTTGCCAGATTTAGAACACGGGTTCGTAACCTTACCATAATCCAATGTTATGCGCCAACCGATGCTGCCGAGCTACAGGACAAGGAGAATTTTTACAGTCAACTGAATGCCGTCGTGGATAAGGTTCCAAAGGGTGACATCAAGATCTACACTGGCGACTTCAATGCGAAGATCGGCTCCGACAACACGGACTATGAGCGTGTCATGGGACGCCATGGTCTGGGCGAAATGAGCGAGAACGGTGAGCTGTTTGCAGAATTTTGTGGCAATAACGACATGGTGATCGGGAGCTCGCTCTTCCCCCATCGGCCAGTGCACAAAGTCACGTGGGTTTCCTGTGATGGACATACCGAGAATCAGATCGACCACATCTGCATCAGCCGAAAATGGAGACGGAGCCTTCTTGATGTCCGGAATAAACGCAGCGCCAACATCGCGTCTGACCATCACCTTCTAATCGGGGAAATCCGCCTACGCATGGCGCGGATCCAGCGACGGGAGGAGAGACTCGGGCGGCGGTTCAACACACGCCGACTTGAAGATCCAGCGGTAAAAAGGTCTTTTGTTCATGAACTTGAGACTCGAGCTGCGGACGTTCCAGAAGGTGGCAGCGTAGAAGAACAATGGACGGCCATCAAGAATGCCAGAGGAAAGAGTGGATCACAGATGAAACCTGACGGAAGATTGAGCAGCGTAGAGAAGCAAAAGCCGCGATAGAGCGGGCGAGAACCAGAGGAGCCAAGAACGAAGCCCGTCAACGGTACTCGGCTCTAGAGAAGGAAGTCAAGCGCTCTTGCAGACGGGACAAGCGAGCGTGGGTGAACTCCCTGGCCGACGAAGGGGAGAAAGCCGCAAACACTGGCGATATACGCCTCCTCTACGATATCTCACGACGCCTGAGTGGAGCAAGGATGAACCCGAGGATGCCAGTGAAGGACACGACTGGACAATTGCTTACCGACCCCACTGACCAGCTGAAACGCTGGTTTGAGCACTTCGAACAACTTCTTCAAGTTTCGACGGCCAACCAGCCATCAACATCTCGGCATGATCCGCCTAGGGTGCGGCGCATCACTCGCGTCAATTCCGAGGCCCCATCACTGCAGGAGATTGAAGCAGCTATCCGGAGCATGAAATCCAACAAGGCTCCAGGGGTCGATCGCATATCAGCAGAGATGCTCAAAGCTGACCCCATGCTATCCGCACAAATGTTGCATCAACTATTCTGTAATATCTGGGACACCGCGACTTTTCCGGCCGACTGGATGCAGGGCATCTTAGTGAAGGTCCCAAAGAAGGGGGATCTGACTGTGTGTGACAATTGGCGAGGCATCATGTTACTGTGTATTGTTCTCAAAGTTCTGTGCAAAGTTATCCTGAATCGGACACAGGAGAAGATCGACGCGACTCTCTGACGGCAGCAGGCAGGATTCCGTGCCGGAAGATCTTGTGTGGACCATATTGTCACGCTCTGCATCATCCTGGAGCAGGTCAATGAATTCCAAGAGTCCCTTTATTTGGTATTCATTGACTACGAAAAAGCTTTCGACCGTCTCAATCACAAGAATCTGTGGGGCGCCCTGAGACGCAAGGGAGTCCCGGATAAAATCGTCAACCTCAACGAAGCGCAGTATGAGGCTTTCACGTGCAGAGTTCTGCATAACGGAGCCTTGTCCGACCCTATCCGGGTAGTTGCTGGTGTGAGACAAGGATGTATACTATCACCGCTACTGTTTCTCATCGTAATTGACGAGATCATGGTAGGTGCAATTGACCGTGTACCGAACCGTGGGCTGCTTTGGCAGCCTATCACCATGGAGCATCTCAACGACTTCGATTTGGCTGATGATGTTGCTCTACTAGCACAACGGCGCTCTGATATGCAGAGTAAGCTCAATGACCTAGCCGAACGCTCCTTTGCGGCGGGTCTCACCATCAACGTCAACAAGACCAAATCGTTGGATATCAACACGGGCAACCCTTCCAACTTTACGGTAGCGGGGCAAGCAGTGGAGAAGGTCGAAAGTTTCCAATATCTTGGCAGCCAAATAGCGTCGGACGGCGGGACCAAGAGCGACATAGGTGCACGAATCAAAAAGGCTAGGGCTGCCTTTGCGAGTTTACGAAACGTATGGAGATCCAACCAGATAAGTCAACGCACCAAAATCCGAATTTTCAACTCGAACGTGAAATCTGTGTTGTTATACGCCAGCGAGACGTGGTGTGTATCAGCGGAGAACACTCAAAAGCTGCAGGTCTTCATCAACCGATGCCTGCGGTATATAATTCGTGCCTGGTGGCCTCACAACTGGATCTCGAATGCCAAGCTCCATCGTCGATGTCAGCAGAAGCCGATAGCAACAGAAATTCGAGAGCGAAAGTGGAGGTGGGTCGGCCACACACTTCGACGGGGCGGAAACGAAATCTGCAAGCAAGCGCTGGATTGGAATCCAGCAGGACATTGCAGCAGAGGCAGACCCAGGGGCTCATGGCGGCGGAGCCTCAATAAGGAAATTAAGCAAGTCGATAGAAATCTGACCTGGGCCCAGGTCAACGCAAAAACGAGCAGCCGCCCAGGATGGAAGTCTTTCACGTTGACCCTTTGCACCGCTGGTGGTGCACAGGACCCTTAAGTAAGTAAGTTCAGCAGCCGACTAGCTGCGTCATTTGGGCCTTTTATCTAGGGCCCTCCGATGCTTTGTTTAGCGGCAAGTGCAATTAGACTTGGCAATGTGCCTGTCGATGACGGCACTTCCACGACGTGAACGTAACAATAAAATGAATTAGAAGAAACACGATAGCGGAGCGAACCAACGAACGAACTATACTGCTGGACGGTCTATCAACCAATGACCATGAGCGGAGGAACAACAGTAGAGCTCTTATGTAGTTTTACAGGTTCAAGCAAAACGATGCACAACTATATGGTACTCGATTATGACGACTTTGTTTGGGGAGAACCTTTATTTCATGAAAACAGAGATAAAATTATCACTTTTCAGAAAAGCATTTGATGTAGCAAATTGTGACAGTTATTGCCTATGGATTGGTGTATTTGGATTTTATTTCCATCTATAAATGACAAAGTTATAAGCGTTCAAAACCTTACACCTTTTCATGACGGTCGCAAATTTTAGATTTTCGATTTACCCCCAGTACCTTCCCGAAAGACGTAGTCTACGTCAAAACATTGCATAACATCGCATTTAAACTGTTTACGAGAAACGAAGAAACGGACAACTACACCCAACCGGGGGATGTAAGATTCGCTTACAATTATGTGGGATTCATCATCAGAGGATGTTAGTGGAGACCGCATGAACCGAGGATGCGATATACCTAGCTGCGGTCCAATGCAAGAAAATTGGAGACCGAAAAATGTAGAATGTATTAGTGAGGTAAATTAGTTATTTCGAAAAAAATAGGAATCAGATTGCCGACTGGACTCGAACCACGAACGCTCGATTATCAGACCTGTCTCATTTTCTCGTATGCTTTTTATGCTGGAGACATTTGAGGCAAGTGTGTGCGTCGTTCTACAATGTTCTACAATGTCCGTCGTTCTACAAGCTTACTGGTATAGTCGAAAGCGTAGATGGAACACGAAATAAAGAAGACAAAAAAGCATTACATCGCCTGCATGGTCAGTTTCTAACATTCGTTGCGATGTTCATGAACAGAGGATGATAGGAAATGGAACTAACATTCATTGTAATAAATAGATTTTTATTTGGTTTGCGTGTAGGTACTGCCGTTACAAGAGTCATGCACAGCTCATGATTTGCTTTGTTTACCAACTTGACTCAGAAGGGTGGCAACCGAGGGGTGACTGCAATGTGTCTTTGCCAGACTTACACTGATAAATTAAACTATTCTCAATTTGCTTAAAATTTAATCATTTTGACATTTAACTCAGTTCAATCATATCGATTGATTAAAAATTAATTATCTCTTACAAAAAAAAAAACTTATCATCTGATATTAAACCCAGTTTAATCATGGTTAATGAAATTGAATTTTGTTTCAAGAAATTTGAATCATTTTTGATTCTATTTTAAACATTTTTGATTGATTTTAATTTTTTTTAATTGAATTCTAACCTTTTTTGACAGAACATTGGATTGACTATTTATTAATATTTAATACTGCCGAGGTAATCATAGCTCGGACTCAATAAGGTGAGGCAAGAATTTGCATAGCTTTTATGATTTAATTTATAATTGAGTTTAGGGCCTAATGCATTGAAACGCCGTTCAAACGCCATTGAATTCACTTCGGCCTATCGGATGAAGATAAAAATTGATTAGCTTGTTTTGTTTTCGAGAAAAAATGATGTAAATATTCATATCACGCGTTCTGATTGACTTCGTTCGGAAGCTTTTGAACAAACGTATCGTACAGAACGCATAATTGACTTGTTAACTCTGAAACCATGGATTTATTTGATGTTTCCTGCTCGATAGGCCGAAATAGTGATGCTCGGTCCGGTTCGTAATTTCCTCAAAATTGTGATTTGCTCGCTTTCTACTTTCTATTTACAATTTCACTTTCATCTCCTCATCTATCGTATTAAATGGTCACTTTAAGTCAGCCATTGACGTTAAGCATCTCAAACTATATTTCCATTGCAATTTGGAACTGACTGTTCATAATGTCACTCCATGTTCTTATTACCAACGTCAGTTGATTATCGAGTTCCAAAAGATACCCATCACGGCATCCGCTTCGTTTAAATTCCAATAAACGGTCGCTCCCACACGTGTATCGATAATGACTATGCTAGTCCAAAATCTCATCAACTTTCGATTGACAAGAATAGGCTCCGGCAATCCGAATCTCCCCTCATCCATCACCGATGCCGATGCCGATTTCGACAGATATGCATTTTCAATTTGCATTCATAACCGAGCCTCACTCTATCCATCTGTTCTTTCCCATTTCTTGGCAGATTTCCGCCTAATCCGAACGCTGCAGCTGACGGAAATCGTCGTGCCGGACGTGGTGGATGTTCGCGATACGCCCACACTGTCCTGCAGCTATGACATGGGCAATCACAAACTCAACTCGGTCAAGTGGTACAAAGACGAACAGGAGTTCTTCAGGTGAGTCGAAATGAAGCGGGATATGAAAACAGTGCCTCTGCCGGCCATGAAGAAGGCTTATCCGATTTTAGCGAACGACAACGACGACAACGACGACGACAGTCGGCAGATGTTTTGACACTGATTGGATTTTTCGATAATTGCTGTTCCTGTCCTCCCCCTTCCGCAAGATCTCATGTTCTATCTATATCGGATTATGTTTGCTACTTTGCGTTCTCTGTTTTCCCGGAAAATTTCACACACACACACACACATACACAGGTACTCGCCGATGATGGAGCAGAACGTGATGACATTCCCGGTGGACGGCGCTACGGTGATGAGCAGATCGCCGGAGCACTTTTGCAACCGGTTCATGTGCAGCATCCAGCTGCAGAAGCTCAACATCAAATCGAGTGGGCTCTATCGGTGCGAAATCAGCGGAGATTCGCCGGAGTTCAAGCTGGCCCACGGCATCGGGAACATGACGGTGGCCGGTGAGTAGAGTTTTTGGTTTGTAGTTTTAATGATTTGCGGCGACCGGGGAGGGGTGATTAGTACGGTGGATTTTTGTTCTGTTTCATCCCCATAAGTTACCTCGTAAGTAATCCTCTGTTTGAAATGCTTCTCCGGGCGGATTTGAGTTGGAAAAGTTTAGTGCGAACTAATGAACACCATCAGAACATTGGATTGGCTAATGGCTTTTCCCGTTCCTAAGACCATAAATTTATCTAGTGAATCTGGCCCCGAGGCAGTTAACAAATCACCACCTTTGTCCAAGTCATGACAACCGAGGATGAAAAATCCACCATCACCGACGACCCGTAAACGACAACCCACACAAAGCCCAGTGACACGACTGGCAATTGTTCCCGGGAAACCACGCAGTGATTGATCGTGGGTCCAGATCAAATAAACCAGTCGCAATTCACATCAGTCACTTTCCTTCGAGTATTTGCTTGCTCATGCCAACTCACTCCCAGAGGGGAATTGTACTGCGAGTGGAGACATTTACAACGAACCTAAACGATTCACATTCACATATTTTCTACACAACTGAAACGATAGTCACCAGTATGACTTTGTACTAAAAACCCCCTTATCGTAGCGAACGAACGACATCAGCACAAACCCCCCCCCCCTGTTTGGGAGGGGGCCAGATAAAAAAGAAACAATAAATTTTCCACAACATTAAGCTCCTTTCCAGAGGAACTCAACCTCCCACACACAAGAGTCGGCTGCCGTACGGTCCTAGGAAGCTCTAGGAGAACGAATAGAAAGTAAAAGACGACGTACAACTTCCAACAATCTTATGGTGGCTTATTTCGAAACGAGCACGGTAGAGGGAGTGAGACGACACATTCCAGGATGACAATAAAAAGACAACCATGAAAATGCAGGAAATCCTCCTCCGCCCGGGCTGCTGGCAGGGGGAAATCTCTGACCAGTCATGCCGATGTGATAATAATAATCAAATCTTTCCGTTTTTAGGTTCGTCCCACAAATCTCCCAGCTTCATGGCGAGATGAAGATGACGGGCTCACCCACCCTCACTCCTCTGTCATCCCTCCCTGTGTGGTCTTCTAGTCACACGCCGCCCCGGTGCCGTTCCAGTCCACCAGGCATGCGAAATTTTCTTCTCTAGCGAGCGAGATTTCCCATTTCGAGACAAGCTAAATCTGTTCAATGGAATGAATTTGAATTGATTGTGGTTTTCTAAGAATTTGAATAATTTGGAGATTAAAATTTGGTTGGCTCTCGTTGTCCTTATGTCTATATTTTGGGCGTGGGAAGTGGACAATTGTGGCTTAGGGTGGTTTGCAGTTGCTACTGAAGTGGACAGTTCGGAATGAAGTCATTCGTGAAATAGGCTTTTAATTAAGGGAGATCTTACAGAATCGGTCACAGTTGGGTTCTTTAGGGGCATTTAGGAGAATGCATGTATGGAATCTGCATTAGATCCGAAATCCAAAATTTCATCACTTTTGGTGCACTGGAACTATTTTAAATAAGTGCGACTACATAACCAAAAATCACCATATTAGCGCCCCTCGGTGGGACTTTGAATTGAAGCGTAGGTCAATTTGTTTGTTTAGTGTCAAACAGCGAAGTTATTATTTTGAATTCAATCCTGATTTAAAAATCGTTGTTTTAAGCTCTATTTACAAAGCTCTTTAAGATGATGTTTAAAAACCCCAAGACACTTTAAAGCAATGTCATTAGCATTTGAAGTAACATACCAGTTCCACTGTCACAGAACCTTCAAATTGGATACGTATAAGTTGTTTGACCTGAATTTGAATAGACTTCTCTGACGTTTGTCAAATGCACTTTTGAATTTATCCAAAGTTCTGCACTAAAACTTGCGTAGTTCACAAACGTCAGAGAAGTCTATTAAATTCATGGCATACTTTGAGTTATTTTGGGTCTTGAAGTCTAATATTCTGTACTGATCATTTTCGTGTAAGTCATCGTGTTTCTTGTTATCGAGTCACGATGAACATTTCTCTTTTCAAACATGACTGGACTATCACTTGTTTCGTTCGTCAAGTGCTTCAGTTCATTTCATTTGAAGCAAAGACTTGTTTCAATTGACGCAATGAATGACTCGAATGTCTGCTTCCTTCGTTTTTTTTCCACTTTCACTTCAATTCCGGGCTCATTCGACTTTTCACGACCTGACGACGCAGCCATCAAAATAAAGTATTCGTCGTTATTTTGGAATCCAAAATGGCGGCCATCGGGTTTCAGAAGAAGTGTCAAATACCCTAGAATAGGGTATTTTCAGAGTGGAGGCGAACCAGCCTAAGGCTGAAAGCCTCCTAAATAAAGCTAAATAATAATAATAATATTTTCAGAGCGGGGATGCCACGTAGATGCTAAAAATTGATATCCGACGCCATTTTGGAATTCAAGATAGTGACCATTGGTTTTATGAAGTGTCAAATACCTTAAGATATGGTTATTTTCAGAACGGGAACAACGCGCAGATGCCAAAAATCGATATCCGACGCTATGTTGGAATCCAATATGGCGGCCATCAGGATTCAGAAAGTGTAAACTGTCCTACAATATGGGTATTTTCGGAACGGGGATGCCGACAATCGATATTTGATGCCATTTCGGAATCCAAGATGGTGGTCATCAAGTTTCATAAAACGTGTTAAATACCCTACGATATGGGTATTTTCGGAACGGAGACAACGCGTGGCTGCCGAAAATCGATATCCGATGCTATGTTGGACTCCAATATGGCGGCCATAGGGTTTCAGAAAAAAGTTATGGTTATTTTCGGAACAGGGACCAATGAGAGATGCCAAAAATCGATATCAGATACCACCAATACCATCCAATATGGCGGCCATAAGAGTTCAGAAAATGTCAAATACCCTACAATATGGGTATTTTTGCAATGGTGACAACGTGTGAATGCCGAAAATCGATATCCGATGCCTATTTGGAATCCAATACGGTGGCCATCGGGTCATAAAAAGTGTTAAATACCCTAAGATCTGGGTATTTTCAGAACGAGGACGACGCGTAGATGCTGAAAATCGATATTCGAAGCTATTTGTAGGCTATTTGACACGTCTTCTGAAATCGGTAGCCACCATCTTGAATTTTAAGATGGCGTCGGACATCGATTTCTTTGACGGTATTTCACAGTTTTTCTGAACCAAAGCCGCCATATTGGATTCAAAGACGGCGTGACATCAATTTTGGGCATCAACGTCTCATCTCCATCCTGAATATAACCATATTTTAGGATATTTGACAATTTTCCGCCAATCAGAAGCCACCGTTTTGGATTACAAAATGGCGTCGGATATCGATTTCCGGCTTCTAGACGTTACCCTGATTCTAAATAAAAAAAACGTTTGTATGGGTATTTGTTAGAATTTAAAACTTTTCCTCCAACCGGAAGCCGCCATCATGGATTTCAATATGGCGTCGGATATTGATTTCCAATCTCCAGACGTGACCTCGATTACAAAAATATCAATATTGATGCAACGGCATCAGCATTTCCCATTTTTTCTGAAACAGGAAGCCGTCATATTGAATTTCAAAATGGCGTTAGATATTGATTTCCGGCCTCTAGATGCCATCCAACTCCAAAAATACCGTTATTTATGGATACTAGACAGTATTTCCCACTTAATCTGAAATCGAAAGTCGCCATCATGGATTTCGAAATGGCGTCGGATATCGATGTTCATCCTCTAGACATCATCCCGATTCCAAAAATACCTTTATTGATAAGTATTTGACAGCATTTTCCACTTTTTCTTAAACTGGAAGCCACCATCTTGGATTTTAGAATGTCGTCGCATATCAATTTTCAGAATACCCATATGGATGGGTAAACAAACCTCCCGACAGTGATAAATTTGACATCCACGTGCACAGATCTATGCGCATACGCTTAAATGAACCGAGTGAACAAGCAACACAAGTCATAAAAACTGCACGAATTTGGATCGAACAGCTTCGCTTCAATGCAAGTGTAAGAAGAAATGAACACGAGTCAAACCAAAACAAACAGCATGACAACTGATCGAAAGTGGTTCTATTGATGTTGATGGGGATCTGCTCGAAGATAAGACAGGAATGACTGTCAATTGAAAGTGATGGTTGACAGCTTCATCGTCGCTTGACGATTTTCGATTGAAAGTGACTTTGTGGGGCCCTGGTACTGATATACAGTGCAACTCAAAATTGATCGTACAGCTGTATTTAAATTTTAGAAAAAAACGGCTCTAAAAGCACCGATGAACCGACAGGACACTTAATTCTGACTTATGCCCGATAATTGTAAGCGGCCGATTTAAATGCGCAGTGATCTGAACTGTCAAAACCATAGGATTTATTGATCTAGATTAAAATAATAAGAATAGATCAGACACGAACCAATTTATAACTTTTGCATGCGGGTTCATGGCTTAGCTAAAAAATTTCCCGCGAACACGGAGCCAGATGTCAGTAGTGTGCTTTGTTCATAAATTTTGTTGTTTTTGCTATGGTTATTCATGTTGGTTTGTCGGTGCTAAAAGCATAAGTTAAAAAGCGATGTCTTTGAATTTTTGGCAGCTGACTCAGCATACATTTATCAATTATTGGCTCAGTATTGGGCATATTTGGTTGAGTTTACAAAAAGGTAGAACAATTTAAGAAAAACGCCTTTTTCTTGAAATAAAATGACCGTAGCTTCTTGACATTTTGCTCATTGTTAGTCGAAATAAACATCATTCATATGCCACTAATTTTACTAAAATTCGTCCACTAGGTAAAAAGTTAAAAATCTAGCGTTTTACTAAAACAAATCTAACTTCATACAGGCTCTTCCAATAAAGACCAAAATTATAGCAATAAATCAATAAGCATCTGTTCAACCACCAGCCACGACTTAAAAAATACAACTATTCACCATGTTTCAAAGAATTGTCCTCTAGGGTGTACGATCAATTTTGAGATACATTGTATCTAAAAATCTTGA